GAGAACTAGTAACATCCTCTCGTCATGCCATAGTATTGTCACACCGTGCAAACCTAAAGAAAGTGTCCTAACATCCATACAACAAAACATTATGAAAACGAGACAATTCACAACAATATGTGAAAACAAAGAAAAACATATATATATATATATATATATATATATATATATATATATATATATATATATGCACAAGTATGAAAAGTAAACACAAAACATGTACAAGTAAAAATAGATAAGTTTATGTACACATTCTATACAACATATACATTAATTACAAAACTCAAAAACAAAGAAACTATCGCAATGCAAAACAATAAACACCAATCCCCGAGAACGGCGACATTTTATTGCAGCGATATAGTGGCAAGCAAAAAGTAAGTTATTAATTTACCGGGTGATATTTAGGTTATATTGTATTGTATCCACAGAGATTGGTTATTAAATTGATGTTCGACAAATAATTCGTTAATGAGTTTGGGGTTTGAATGGGTTGGTAGTATAGAAAAGTATCAACAGAAAATAAATGTAAATAAAAGTAAAGCTAAGGAAGAACTTTATCAAACCTGTATATAATCTACTCATCACAGACTTAAATCTATCAACCAGTTCACTTAACCTAACAATACTCATCAATGTCACCATGTATCTCTCACAACCTAAGTCATTTCTAACCCAAATCGAGAGACCGACTGTATTATCAAGAAAGTGATCTCTCTACCACCTCAACAACACAGAAGACAACTATGTTAATCGAACTAACGATCTCTCAGCACAACACAACTAACACATGCATTAAGATCTGACACCCATAGTGAATGTCAACTCTAAATCTATCTCTAGAGTTCAGAAACTAACAAATGATCATCTTAGATAAAAATCTAAGCAGTATATGTCTATAACAACTCAAATTCCTAAGACAGAGTAAAAATATAAGACAACAATCGACAAATATTAATAAAGCAAGTTTTATATAACGCCATGGGAGATAAATATACATGAGTTCAAAGTAAACACATATATAAACCCAACACAAGAGAAATACATAGAGAGGAGAAGAGATAAACCACAAATCTTTCGGTTTGTCAAAGACGGTCAATGAGAAATCCACCTTCAATCATCCACAAGCAAAGCTCTAGTGTTGTTATCTAAGCTAATCCACTACAAAAATGAGGTTGATGAAGTTTGGAGAAAGAAAATCACCCCCAAAACCATAACTCTCCAAATTAAAAGAAAATGAAAGTATAATGGAATTTTGTTATGTAAAAATCTCCTAGCGATACAACTCACGTCGCCCGATGACAATTTCTATACACTTGGCTCAAACTACACCATATCCTCAACTGAAACAAATATTTACCGTCTCCCAGCGACAAACTCACATCACCCAACAAAAAAGGCAGAGGCAACATCAAAATTGGTCTTCTAAAGTCCCTCGGCGACAGACATTTCGCCCGACGATGCATGATAGTTCAACAACTTTTGTTGCTTCCACTGCACAACTTCATATGGCCTCCAATCTTTGCCTTCTTCCTTTATTGATCCAAAAATGCATCTTAGAACTTTATTCCTCTTGCTCCAAAAATTCTCAAATACCTATAAAATATATACAACTAATCAACCGATACAATATGTACTCAAAATGTAACTAAACGTATTTACAACAAAAAGCAGGGTTATTCAACTGATATTAACAACAAAGAGTCGATAAGTGCAACATAAAATATATATAAAATAACTACACTTTTCACTTATCAATGTTGTAAGGGGAAGCTGCATTGACGATTAAATATCTTACCCTGACTATTTTTACATTCGTGGCATTACCGAAGTTGGTTAGCAATGACAGGTGTCCGAGCACATGGACTTGTTCCCCTTAGAATCCAACCAAGTTGCCTTTAAACGGTAGCAACTCGGATGTATCGAAGTCCAATCCTTTGAAGGCATCCTAGTAGAGCACATCAGATGAGCTTCTAGGGTCCACTAACACTCGCTTTATACTCCAATTCCACATCTTCACTTTTATCACCATCAGTCTGTTCTCATGGGTTGGGACTCCGATGGCATCCCATTTTGAAAAGCTGGCGAAATCTAGGTCGCCTTCCTGACCTTCAAAAGATTATTGGGTGATGTGCATCACAACCCGATCATATCTTTTCCTGGGTGAACTGGTCTCTCCGCCTCTAGAGAATCCGCCGACAATTGTGTTAAGTGTATGTCGAGTTGCCTTCGTTTTATGCTCCTCTTGGACATCTCTTCCTTTTTTATGCGAAGGCTTTTCCGATTTGGTGTCGTCTCTCCAATGACTTCTTTTCTCGGGTTGTGACCTGGAGTCCTCCATATATGCTAAGAGATATCCTCTATGTATCAGTGCTTCGATCTCTTTTTTGAGTTGATGGCAATCGTCATTATGATGACCCCAGAGCCAGTGATAGCTACACCAAGCCCAATGTCTTTCCCCATTATGGCATTCACTTTTCTTGGGCGTCTCAATTCGGGTATCAAATTCAGATGGTCTACCTCCTTCAAGAAATCTCCTCTTCTGGTATTTAATGGCGTTAGGTCCTCCTTAGAATCGAAGGGTCATCGGTATGACCTTGGTGCGTGTCAGTCACGTGGATTGATCCGAGGAAGTTCTTTTCTGTGTCCTGACCCCTCCTCTTTACTTTTCGTCTTCTTGGTGGTATCTCTGGGTCACTTCTTCCGATTAATTTCTTAACCTTTGATGTAACACTCGATCCTGGTGATGATTTCGTCCATGCTGGACGTCGGCTTCTGTGTCAGAGATTCATCAAATTGTCCAGCTTGGAGACCGTGTTGGAATGCTCCAATGAACAACTCTTAGTTGGGGTGCGAAACCTTGACAGTTTCTTCATTGAATCTGGCCAGGTACTCCCGTAGAGATTCCACATGTTCCCGCCGAACATTGAATATAATAGTTGTCGAAACCTTTTGGTGTCTATTTTTCGAGAAGTGTTGTACCAATTTCTTGGTCAAGTCTTGATAGCTCACCAAAAATAGTCGAGGAAGACTAATGTACCACCTCAGAGCCACATCTTTGAAAGTTCCTACCATGAGTTCACATTTTAACGAGTCGGAGGGCCCTAATATCACCATTTGATTGTTGACAAAGATAATATGCTTATGGGGATCATTTTTGCCATAAAAAAATGTGAGCGATAGTGACTTAAAGATTTCGTGGACTTGGTCGTCCCATATCGCCTGCGAAAGCGGCTGGGGCTCAATAATATCCTATTCTTGCTCCCCATCCGCTTGGCTTTGCAATTGCAGGACCGACACGCTATCCTGTAGTGTTTCGTTCTGTTTTCCGAGAGCACCCACCACGGCCAGTAGCCGTGCCATGTCTGGAGGATCCTCTTCGGAGGATATTCTTCTGAATGTGATATGTGGCCTAGGAAAGTTTTAACGAGGCCCCACGGTGGGCGCCAAATATTCTTGCGTAAAAACACTAAACTAATGACTTTCTTGTAGGAACAAGGAGAGCTTCAACAAGGGTAGATTTATGTATGATCTTTGGGGATTTGGGTGCTGTGATAGTGATGCGTATTGACCCAAGGATGAATGTCTTGCTTACCTCTCTGGCGGGAGCCCCTTTATATAGTCTTCAAATGACCCTTTAAGATCCTCATTTAAGAGGCAACTCTACACTTTCTCATGTTTAAGACACACGTAACAGCCGTCGTCTGCCATGAATGGGTGCAATCAAGCTATCATAGCATATGCAATTACCTTTTATGCCTAGGACCGAGTTCCTAACCAACTATATACTGCTAGGCTCTGTCCTAGAACACTCAAAGGAGTTGATACCCGGGTAAGGTCACTACCCAACTTCCTATTAAGTGGAGTTGATATCTGGATAAGGTTACTACCCGACTTCCAGCTAAGTGAAGTTTATATCCGAGTAAGGTCACTATCCAACTTCCAGCTAAGTGGAGTTGATACTCGAGTAAGGTCTCAACCCGACTTTCCATAACCCTTTATATCTTTTTACTCTTGCCCTAGATGATTTTATAACTCAACTAAAATAAATATTTTCAATATATATATATTCTCAAATTAATCACCAATATCCAATAAAATATTTTTATTTTAAACTGATTGATGTTTATTTTCTTTCTATTTTCAATAAATGTTAAATATTTTAAAAAAATTATATTCTTTTTAATTAATATTATATTACTTATATAACTTAAAATTTAATATCATATACTGTGTATTTGTGATTAAAATGAATATATGAATAAATGATAAGACCATTTTATTAAAAATATTACTTTTCCATTTTATTACTTTTTTTATGAATTAAATATTAATATTATTTATATATTCTTTTTCCTGATTATTATTATAAACAAATATTTTCTTTTTATGTTCATTTAATAACGAATGTATTTTATCTACATAAAAGACTAAATATATTTATTATTCAATAAATCTAAAAGAAATTTTTTAATTATAATAATGATTAGAATAGTAACTTATAATTTAATTTATTATACATTTGTGATAAGAATTAATACATGAATAATGATAAGAAGATTTTACTTAAAAATAATACTTTTTCTATTATATTACTTTTTTTATGAGTAAAATTCAGTCAATTTAATTTTGGGATTGAGGAAATAGCTATACAAGAAATAACCATAAAATATAATCTAGTATTCAATCAACGTATTATTATAAATAAATAATTATTTTAAAGTTTATTATATAATTAGTTTATCTAATGTATATAAAAAGACTAAATACATTATTCAATAAATTTTTTCTAAAAATTGTTTAACCCAAGGATAAATTTAAAACTGTTTTTTTCCACAATAGTTTTGTTTTGTTTTTTTTTACGATTTTGCCACTCAGCTTTCTTCTTCCTCTCTTTTCATTTCACGTTGATTGTGGTCTCTCATTTTTCATTCTTCCTTCTCTTTTTCCCTCTCTCTCTCTCTCTCTCTTCTTTCTCTCTCTTCATTTTTCACGCTGACATGTCTTCCGCCGGCGGCAACCACGACCTTCCCCCCGGCGGAAACTCCGACGAACTCCGCCAATACTTTTGCCACCAGTGCGAACGCACAGCCTTCATTTCAACCTCCACCGCCGATCTAATCTGTCCCAATTGCAACAGCACCTTCCTTGAGGAACTCGAAGCTCCAATCCCGAACCCTAACCCTAATCCCAACCCTATCCCTCCGTTTTTCTCCCACACCACCGACTTTCCCGCCGCTGGCTTCTCCTTTCCCCTCGTTTTCTCTGGTGGTGCCGCTCCTCAGCCATTCAATGATCTCTCCGCCTTGTTGTCGTCGTCGTCTCCGTCTCAGTCTGCGCCTTTCGGCGACGCGTTTAACCCGGTTGCCTTTATTCAAAACTATCTCCAGAACATGAGAGCGGGAGGAGGCAATGTTCAGTTCTTCATCAACGACGGCAATGATCCGGCTCCTCAGTTCCGGTTTCCCGGTAATGCGAATCCGGGGGATTATTTCTTTGGACCGGGGCTTGAGGATCTGATCCAGCAATTGGCTGAGAACGATCCGAGTCGGCGCGGGACTCCTCCCGCGTCAAAATCTGCTGTGGAAAAACTACCTGTTATCGAAGTTACCGGGGAGTTGCTGGAGTCCGATTCGTCTCAGTGCGCGGTGTGCAAAGACACATTTGTCCTTGGTGAAAAGGCCACGCAGATGCCGTGTAAGCACATTTATCATGCTGATTGTATCTTGCCGTGGCTGGAATTGCATAATTCCTGCCCTGTTTGTCGTCATGAGTTGCCAACAGATGACCCTGATTATGAGCAGAGGGCTCGCAGCGGTGGAAGTGGTTCTGGTGCTGCTGGTGGAGATGATTATGTGAGGAGGTTTAGGGTGTCTTTACCGTTTATGCCATTTAGGGCACCTTCTTCTGCTGCGGGGACAAGTAATGCTGGGAATGTTGACAACAATGATAACAACAATAGCAATAGTGAGCAATCCAATACCGAGACCAGACAAGAAGATCTCGACTGAGAATCAGTCATCTTTCATATGTAAGTTTGGAGCTTCTTGTTTCTTTTGGGTGTTAGATTTATGGTTCAGTTTTATTGTGATTGTTTTGACTTGTTACAAGTGATACTGCAGTTTATGCTTTTCATGTGTTTGTCTCATTTCAATTGCCTCTAATAAAATGGTGAAGTAGTTTTAAAGTGCTTGTTCATGCTGATTTTTGCTCTGGATTACTCTTGTGTTGAGCCGTTTTCGGAGTTTCTGTTTCATTATCTGGGGTGAATGTAATTTTTATGTTGAATGTAACTTTTATGATTTAAACTTGGAAATTTATTGAATGTTAGGGTTAGGTCGTCGTGGCAGGTTAAATGTATTTGGCATTTCTTTTGTGATTGATGACCTATTACAAGTAATAGTGTAGTTTATGCTTTTCATATGTTTGGCTCATTTCAATTGCCGCTGGTAAAATGGTGAAGTAGTTTTAAAGTGCTTATTCATGCTGAGTTTAACTCTGGATTACTCTTTTGATCAACGATTTTTGGCGATTCTGTTTGATTATCTGGGGTGAATGTGATTTTTATGGTGGTACCTTTTATGATTTAAACTTGGAAATTTGTTGAGTGTTAGGGTTAGGTCGTCGTAGCAGGTTAAATATATTTGGCATTTCTTTTGAGTATGCAGCTAAAGAATATTTGGGAACTAATTGTAAAGAGAAACAAAATTTATCTTTGATTGAATGTGCTTTAATTGGTGAAAGAACAGGGTTTCAAAACTTCCAATTTCAGTTATGTAGTATGGATTGTGATGCTGCTAGTTACGGTTACCTTCATTTCAGTATTGGCAAATAACGGCGCTATTGCATAGAAGTGTTGTTAAATAACCGATATGCTATTACGTATCAAGATTTGGAGCAACTGCCGCGTAAGCCGATACGCTATTACGAGCTTGCTACCATAGCAATAGTGGCAGTTTTTTGCATGCCGGTGATAGCGGTTATGGCTTACGTAGCAGAACTTATTGTTTTTTTATGCCTTTTTCTTAACAATAACATTAAAAATATGAGCTGCACATGACATATTTTTACAAACAAAAATAAAACAATGCTGAGTTGGTGATGAGATGGGGTCTTATATATTCCCTAAACCCCACAATCTAGGTAACCCCTCATCTATTCACCTTCACCTATCATCTCTAATTTGATTTCTTTTTTTCTTTTTTTTTATCTCTTTTTTTCTTTCTATTGTTTTCTTCTGTTTCTGTTTTTTTTTTCCAAAATATTTCTTTTTTATTACATTTCCCTTCCCCTGTTCAAATTAGTTTATGTTTACGTAGCTTTTATTTGTAAGCAACATGCTTTATTTTATATATAGTTTTTTTTCTTCTATTTCAACCACTTTGCAGCTTTTGCTTTTTCTCCGCTATGCTATCTGCTATTTCTTATATCGAGTTTTTTGGCTATCTGTTATTTTCCGCAATCCGCTATTAACAATATTGTAGTGTAGTGGAATTTGAACAAACCACTATTGTCATGTAATACACTATGTAGTGCCAAGTGTTGTCAAATAGGGGCGCTATAGCATTGTAGAATAGCAAAGTTTGAACAGATTGTTATTTTCAATGATCTGCAATTGACTACATTAGTTCATTTGTTTTTGTGATGCTTGTTTGGTGTATAAGTTTGGGCAAATGGTATGATGATGTTTGTTCTGATTTGGTGTATCTGATCGCCTGAGTGATCTATGTCATAACATTTGAAAGAAAAAATGTACCATGTGCAAACAAAGAAGGTTCTGTTGTAGCAACTATCTTCAGATGAAAAAGAAGGATCTTTTATATTTGACTTAGAAAGAAAAAGTAAAAGAAAAAACTATTTATGCCTAACTCTTTTTTCATTCAAAGATAGTTGTATAAACACATTGCTATAACAGAACCTTCTTTATCTCACGAGGTGTTTAAATTTCAGAAGTTGGCTGTTATTGCAGCAAGCTCAAATTGCATTGTTTAAAACTTTGCATTCATATTATACAGTAATAGAATAGACATTTTTGTGATTCAATTTTTGAACTATTTGTTGCTTGGAAGGTTTACCAATCTGCTAAAGTGAAATAAAGTACACACCATGACGGGGTTTATTATTATTTTATAAGGTTATAAGATTATTTGCTTTCTTGGTAGTACTGCATTATAGTATTTTAAGAGTATTAAAGTCTGTTTTTCAACTATAAGTTGTCCAGTCGAGGCTTATTTTAGAAGCTAATAAAAGAGGTTATAGGCCAAAAACTAGTAAATCTAAGGGGCTGTTTGATTTTACGAAATGCTTTTTCTCTCTGTTTTAACTAATAGTATTTACCGAAATGCTGCAATGTTTTCACTTTCTTGGTTCGATAATTGTTTTTATTATTGTTTCATTTGAATAAAGGTATTTTGACTATATTGGAAACAGTAGTTAGCATAACTTCTCAGATGATGAGAAAAGCCCATAATTATTTTTAGACTGACATTTTCACGACTTTACTATCTGCTGCTCTTATTTGATATGCTGCTGTTTTCAGTAATTCCTTTCAGAAGTAGTTGTTACTCGGACTAGCTGATAGTGATGTCAAAAATATCATTCACGTAGGATAGTTAATTCATGATATGGTATAAGAACTGCTTTATATAAAAATTTAGATTTAGATTCAACTTTCTCCATTTTATATTAATGAAAAATGGGATTTCAGCACAAGATAAGGAGGCCTGTACATTAGCAACATTACAAGCCCAATATTGCATGTGAGGAGAGTGTGTCAGTGATGTCATATAATATCATTCATATATCCTCCTCACCTAATAGCTTAGGGTTATGAGATGATTGGTTCATGACACTATCTAAACAATATGAGTATGAGCAATTGCGTACTGAACTGGTCATTACTAGTGTTCTTCTTGGTTTTAACCTTGGGAGTTTAGGGGAATGAGAGAACTCTAATTTCTAAAGAAAATCAGTTCTTTGAATCATAGAGGCAAAATAGTAGTAGTACATGTCACCTGCTGTTAGGATACATAATAAAGGATACTAGTGTAGCTAAAGTTGTTAAGGATTAGTTAGGGATGTTATTCATTTATTGGGTAGTTTGGACTATAATATAAAAATAGGGAGTTTTTTGGGAGTTAGAAAGGGTATCATTGATCCTATTATAAACAATTGTGAATAGAGTAGTGACTCTATTGTGGAGGGAAAACCCTTGAAGGAGAGATTTCTCTCCTAATCCTTTCTATTTTCCGAATAAAATCGTTTTTCCTTTGGAATCCAATTCTGGGTTCCTAACACCTGCTATTTTTCTTATCTGTCTGTACTGTGACATGCACCTCTATCAGATTGTCTATAAAATGAATCTCTCAAATTGAGTCAGTGTTATTGATCTAAATAGTGTGTTTCTGAAATCTTGCTATTTTTTTGCAGGTATCAGGGGTGTTTCAAGCCTGCAGCATTTCTGTTGAGTAGAAGTGATGTCAAATACCAAGCACTGGTTTGACATTTACAAATTTTATATTTTACTGTAATGAACTCATGTGATTGTACATCACCGTTTTGATACTTAAGAGTTCTTTGTAGATTAATGGTTTTTATGTACATTATTTTTGTGAACTATGCTGTCTGTGACATTGTTTTCATTGTTCACCTCTTCCTGGATTTGGTTTCAAAAGGAAGAAAAGGTTATAGCTGTTTCACCTAGAAAATGAATAGTTGAAATAAATTGTTTTACATGAATAATGAATTATTATAACATTATTTAAGTCTATTTTTCTTACTTCGGTCATGGAGTGTTATTACCTTTTTTTTCCGGGTTTAAGTAGGGATATAACTTGTCTTATATGCCCCAATGGACTGTCATGCTGCATTGGTGGCTGTTAAGCTGGTCCTAAATTATAACTCTCCTCTATTTGGTCTTTGACTTTTAGATTTATGTTTAGGAGTCCTTAAAATATTTTTAATCTGTCAATGTATGTAAACACTGAAATATCATTTTTGCTAAAATTCTTTAAACAACTAAGGGATTAATTTGATCGATTAGTAATAGTTTAGAGAGTATTTATTATATTCTTATAGTTTAGGGACTAAATAGGAGTAGGATTTCATAGTTTGTCACAACTTATTTCATCTCAAAACCTTCTAAAAGAAATGTAACATTTAGTCTCATTTTTCTGGAGACATTAGCATGATACAAAATGTTTCATCCATTGAAGTATGAAATCTCAAATTCCATTCATAGTTAATCTTTTTAATATTATAAAAAAAATGAGATCCAACTTTTCATGTGACAGTGTTGTGTAAGATGTCACTTCCCTCATTCTTTTAGCGAGGTATTTTTTACAATTAGGGGTGACAAAAGAAAACGTCATTTTGACTGTTTTTTTTACACCCTTTAATATGTATATTTTTTTTTTGAAGGCTTATGCGGGCATTGATAAGAGTTTTTGTAAATTTTTTCTTTTTTTTTAGAATTTCTTAGTACATCTTTATGTCTTTTTAGGGGTCTTGCCGAAATTTCAGTAATACCTCCTTAATTCAGATATGTATATCTGAATAAATTCAATTTTTAAGGGGTTTTTGGATATACATATCCGAAATAATCAAATATTTTATTTTCAAGAGATATTCGAATATGCTTATTTGAAATAACTCAATATTTAATTTTCAGAGGATTTTCGAATATGTATATCCAAATTAAATATACCATTTAAAATTAAAATTAAAATCTACAATTATTATTAACTTTTTAAAATAATTATTTATCAAAATAGCATACTAGAAATAAATTATAAATTATAATAGGAATTCTTATTTAGAATAAATTATTTAGACCAAAATTTCTAAGCAATTTTATTATATTATTTTAAAACTATCCCAAATTAAAATAATAATTTATTTAAAACAAAATAAAACAAAAGATATATTTTTTAAATTGAAAAAAGTTAAGACACATATTAAAAATATTAATGTCAAATGACTCTTTGAAAAGTTAGAACAAATTCTTTTTTCT